GCGCGGCCTGGGCGGACGGCGGCCCCACCCGCCGGCGCCATCGGGCTGGCGGCCGTGTCCAGCGGGGGCTCGCGCCGGGGACGCGGGCACTTCCCGAACCCTTTTCGGCAGCTGGCCGGCCGCAGGTCATGCTGGAGGATCGGGGCCTCGTCGTGCTGGGCTTGGGCCACCCGCTCGCGGTGGCGGTGGCTGACACATTCGACGCGGACGCAGGCCAGATGTGCAACGCCGACGACGACTTGCGGACCCTGCCGGTGACGTATTCTTCCGACGGGCGGGCGGACCAGGTCGTTCCATGGCGCGGTGGCCAAAATGTCGACGACGCCTTTCGCGGACGGGGCGACCAGGGCCCCCGCACTGCCGCGCGGCTTCTAGCTAGGATCTCGGAGGCTTGCTTCACGCCCTTGCAGAGGCACTTCTGGTGGAGGTCCGCGCAGGGTCTCACAGCTGCGGATCCTGGTTTGCACGACCATTACTTTTTTCTGACTTGCGGCAGGAGCTCACCACGCACGACCAGCGGCATTGCTGGCAAGCCCGGCTTGGCCGAGATCATCATCTGCAGGAGGTACCACTGTCGCGAGGGGCGGCGCGCTTCGAGTCTCAAGGATGCCGAGGCAAATCAGGACGCGGCGGCTTGGCTCGACGGGAGGGTCATATTCTTTGGGCAGGTCAGGAGCAGCGGATCTGCGCCGTCTTGCCCCGCGCTTGAGAACTGGGCCGCCGAGGAGCTCAAGGAGGAGCGCGCCACCCCCAAGAAGCGCAGGAAGGGGCGCGAGGAGAGGCTGCTGGAGCGGGGTGGCGGCGTCGGCGGCGCGCCCTCTGGCGAGATGGCCGCGCCCGCCAAGGCCGAGTGCCGACGCGGCCGCGGGCGAGCGACCCGCCCGCGCTGAGGACCCCCCCGGCATTGGCGCGGCTTTCGCAGGGAGGCGAGGTGCGCCAGGAAGCGATGCCGCCCAGCTGGGTTTTGACGCGGCCGTTGATACCCAAAGACATGTCTTGCCCATCCCGCTCGGCGCGGAGACGCCCCAGCTGCCGGAGGGGCACGCGGCCCTCGACGGCGAGCTTTCGCTGGTGCAGCGGCGCAAATCTGCGCGCTGCAGGCGACAGGGGCGCTGGATGCTGGAGGGCGTCGCGGCGCTCGACGTGATGGGCGGCGACGGGCGGGCGACAGCGGCGGGCCCTTCTGCCGGGCGCGGCCCTTCGCGCCGACGCATGCGGCGGAGGCCCGCGCCGCGGCGAGGCCCCGCCCTGCGGCTTGCGCAGGCCCGGGAGCGTTCGATGCGCTTCCGGGGATTGGCTACAGCCGGCTACTGGCGCGGGGATGTTTGTTTTTCCCCGCGGGCGGTGCAGGGCGGGTTGGAGTGGTGCTATTCTTGCCCGTGCACCTGCAGTCCGCGCTGGAGTCCGAGCAGGGATTGTTGCGGTCGGAGCAGGAGGCTTCTGCTGCTCTGGACGAGGCGGCTGCCGCACGTCACCTTGACAGCAAGTCGACCCAGCAGGCCATGGATTACAAACGCGCGTTGTAAGGGCGCGCGCCTTTTCTAGGGCACCCTTGCGCCCTTGTCACTGCGGCCCGTCCACTGTTGTTTTCGCTGGTCGCCCGTCGCTCAAAAATCCCAACTTCGGCCTGCCAGGGTCTTGCGCCCTCACCACCCATCCTTAATTTACGTTTTCACTGCGAGTAAGTGGCCGCGCAGTAAGTGGCCAGGGGGCAAGAAGCCCTGCGCCCCTCTGGTGAATGACGCCGACGCGGCCGAGGTTTTGCACATCGACAACTTCGCCGCCATCAGCGCGAGCCAGGACGCGGCCCGCCAGGCGGTCAATGACGCGCTGCAGAGGTTCACCAGCGAGGGGGCGCAGGCGGCGCTTGACATCGACGACGTTCTCAGGGGCCTCGTGCTGGACTCGAAGCGGGGGAGACGTCGGCCCGCGGCCGCGAAGTCCCGGCGAGTGCACGGCTGCATTCAGCACTTGCTCGAGCGGGCGCGCTGCCCCGCAGGCCGCCGCGTGGGAAGGGGGAAGGTTCGCAGGGCGCATGGCAGCCTTTCTGCCTCTACGCCGCGAGGCGCTCAGCCTCCCCAGCTCGGTCTGCGTCTTCGCTAGGGAATCGCGCGACAACTCGCAGCCCCAGCGGCGGGCCGCTGGCGGGGGCCCGAGCGGGCGCACGCGCCCCCCCCCGCGATCCTCGCAGACGCGGAGAGGACCTGGCGCGCCGTGGCGGGGGCCTTCGACGCCTCGTCTTGGGGCGCAGGCGTCTGCGCGGCCCGCCGGCAGCTCGGCGGCGCGCGGGCTGCTCGTGGGCAGCCGGGGAAGTCGCGCTTCCGAGGCCGCCCGGCGTCTCCGCTCGCTCCGAGGGCGGCCGCCGGCGTCGCCGCGGCCGCCGCCACTGGCGCCATCGATCTCTCTGATCTGGCGGCGCCCCCGCTGGGCCGCCCAGCCGGCATCGAGGGGGCGACGCAGCTCGGCCTGGGCCGCGGCTGTGGCTTGCGGGTGGAGTCAACGCAGCGCCATGCACCGTCTCGAGAGCTCTGCCAGGCCGCCGCGGCTTCGCCGCGCCGCGCGCAGCGCGGGCAGCCACGGCCGCCGCCTCCTCGGCCCAGGAGAGTGCGCCCATGATCTGCGCGCAGGACAAGGGGGGAGCGTCCGATTTTCTGGTTTTCCGTCTGCGCGCCGCGTCGCGTTCGCCATCTCAGTCGCTTGCAACCTCAAGGTCGCGTCGAGGCGAGCCTCGTCTGAACTCAACCCCGCAGACGGACCCTCGAGGCGATTCCAAGCGGCTGGTCTGGAGCCATCTTGGCCCGCGCGCGCTGCCCATCATTGCCGAGACCGCGCAGGCCCCGCTCACGGACGCGCGCGCGCCCCAGGCAAGCCCGCCCCGCGGTCGGCCGCCCTGCCGGCGCCAGCGGGCGCGTTGCTGACCCGCAGGCGAGCCGCCAAGGCCAGGCGCGGGCGGCCGCGGCGCGGGTCGGCGCGGACGGCCACGGCGCGGTTCGGCTCGGCGCTGCCGCGGGGGGGCCCGCAGCCCCTCGCGGCGCCCCCGCAGAGGCGCTGGGGGCGACTGCGTCCGCCATGCTTGCGGCCCCCTCAGCACGGGCCGGCGGTCCGCGCAGCGGCCGCCAGGCTGCCCCTCTCGGCGCGAACGAAATGGGCGCGGAAGAATGGGCACGATGCCCAGCAGCAGCTCCTTTTCATCTTGAACAGGACTCGCTGTCCGCGCCGCCGCGGCCTGCGCCCATTTGAGACCGAAGGCCGCCTGCCCAGCAGCGGCCGCTCTTGGTTTGGGACAGCATTTGTAGTTGGGCTTTGTGCCCATATATTTTTTCCGCGCCCATGTCGGGCGTCCAAATCCTCTAAGGCGCCACGGCGCTGTGCATCGCACTGATGTTCGAGGGCCACCTGCGACTCTCAGAGGCGGTGGCGCCGCAGGCGGCTCCGATCTCAGGGCCTTTCGGCACCGCCAATGCGCCAGGGGGGGCCCATGCATGCGGTGGCGGATTCAACGAAGCTGGACCAGCCATGCAATGCGGGGGAGATGGGTCACGCAGTTGCGCTCAACTTGCAGCGGGAGCAGGCGCTGGCCTGGGCCTTTCCGCGGCCGCACGACAGCCGCCCAGGTCGCCGGCGCCCACTGCGGGACTACCACTGCAGCCACCCGCGGCGACGCTGCGGCCTAGCGCTGCAAGCTGCGGGAGCGAGCTGTTTAGCAGACGCGCCCTGCAGCCTCCGCCACGGCGGCGCCAGCCACGACCGCCTGCTGGGCCCCCGCGCGCTGATGGAGGCGCAGCAATGCGTAAACTGCCACACCTTCAACAGCGGCAGCCGCAGCGACGCGCACGGGGGGGGGGGGGGGGGCATCGTGCGCGATCAGCCGCGGAGTTTGACACCGACTGCAGGCAGCTCTCGCAGCGGCGGTGTGGAGCTGCCGAGGGCGCGATTTCAGAGTGTTCGTTGAACTTTTCAGTGGCTCTGGCAACTTGTCTCGACACTTGCGCCGGGGCGGGCGCGCCGCGGGTGAGTGGCATGTCTTGCAAGTTTGATATCACCCGCCAGGCCCCCTGGGCTGTGCTGCGCGGTTGGATTGCGAGCGGCGACGTCAAAGCGGCGTTTGTGGACGCACCGCGTGAGACCCTTTCCCGAGCATGGCGAGGTGGCCCCGACTCACGCACGCCGAGGCGCCGTCGCCGCGATGCATCCCATACGTCTGGCATCCCCGACATGTCCGCCGCCGACCAAGCCGAGCTCGACCGCGGCAATCGCTCGGCGGCCCGCGCTGGCCAAGCCCGGCCCCTCGCTTTCAAGTTCGGCATCGCCGCAGGGGAAGAAAACTCCGTAAGTGGCTGGCTCTGTCGTTTCCATGGAGATTGAGCAGACAGGCCTTTCCGCGCTCTCATGCCGCCCTCGCTGACCAATGCGCAGCTGGTCGCCCTATCAGAGTTCGACGCAGTTTCCACCTCCTCTTTGGTCGCCCCTCCCCCGCCTTCCCGGCGATGAAATGCCGCGGCCAGGGCATCTGCAACTATGCTCGGCCGCCCCACCTCGAGCTCTCAGGCAGAGAAGGCGGCGCGATTCACGTTAGAACGCGTCAGAAGGCTGCCCGCCCCGATGCCATTTGCGCCCAATTGGCCTCGATGTTTTGCTCTCGGGCAATCGCCAGCCAAGCTGTCTCTTGGACACGCTTGTTAATGCGTGGCTGAACCAGCTCGCTGTCTGTCGTTGGGATCTGCGCATGAGTTGGACGCGGGCAAGGTCTCTTGCAAGCGCCACCCCTTGCCGGACGCCATCTTCCAACCAGTTCACTGGACAGAAAATGCCAGTTACAGTTCTGATAAGCTCACAAGTTTAGTTGCAGGTCTGATCCGCATTGCGCCTCGCTGCCCCTCGCATTATTTCCTCCTTTTCCGCCCCATCCTACCCAGGTGCCCGCACATCTTGGCACGGAAAGGTTGGGCGGGCCGTTGGATTATATCCGTTGCTCTAGGCTCAAATCAGCGGCAGAGCGCATGCCCCTTTTTACGGTTGTCAGGCTCGCCTCTTGGGCTGCCTCTCAGTGGGGCACGATAGGCCCCGTGCCGGGTGCTGCTGGACAGTGCGCCTTCGCGGCCAACCTGCCTGGAGGACTACTTGGGCTGGTGGTGGCCATCGGCGGCGTGGGGTTCCTCCTGGGGTTCAGCTGCGCCGCCATCGATGGCTGCCCGTGTGCTCAGGGGGCTCGAGACGGGCCGGCGAGTCTGCGCGCTCTGGAACGACGGGGAGGATTGGCAGGTGAGGGCGCTACTCACGCCCGCGACCGCGGGCGACCTCGACGAGGTGATGGGGGTCAACGCCATCGACGATCCCGAGATCCAGAGCCATATCTGGTACGCTCTCAGTCCCGACGTCGACGCGTACCCTCACCTCCTCGCCGCGCCTCCTCTAGCCGGTCTGTGCCTCGCCGATTCGACGGACCGGTTCGACCCGACCCTTGGCGAAGGCAGGCGACGGCCCCGGCGCTCGAGGACCTACGGGGAGGATTGGGCACCCACACCACTCGAGCTCAGCCGGGCCATTCGCTTTGCCGTGATGGGCGACTCCGACGGCTCAGCCCCCAGCCGCCGCATGGTCGGGAAGAAGCCGATGACAGCGAGCGAGGTGAAGGCTCTGACAGTGGCGACGGGCTCTTCAGTCACTCAGGGTCGACCAGCGGGCACTGAGGCGGAGGTCGGGACGGGGATGCTCGAGAACCCCGCCCCGATGGTCCGGCAGGTGATCTGCATGTCGGGCGGCGCTTTGGGCCCGCAGACTCTCGAGGACTACCGAGTCGACGGCTGGGCCACCATCGGCGACTTCGGGGTCGCCAAGGTTGGAGGGCGGATCTTCCTCTTCCGCGCGGTGGACAAGAAGACGGCCTCCGAGGGAAGGGGCCGATTTGGACGCTAGAGTGATGCCCGTGCTGGAGAACCACTCAGGCGAGCGGAAGCGGGTCTTCCGCGACGCGGTGAAGCGGCTGCAGGTGTCTCAGTGGCGCCATTGGCCAGTGCGCGGGCCGCGGACGGTCAAGTGGCGTTTGGAGTTCCTCGGAGAGCAGGACATGCACCCGAGGGCTCGCCACGCCAAGTGGAAGGCAGAGCGCCGGCTCCAGAGTGGCGACGCTGGCGTAGCGGACCACGAGCTGGCGATGAGGATGTTCGAGGTGGCGGTGGTGTGCGACCAGCTCATGGTCTCAGAGCTGGCCTGCTTCGAGTACCTCGCTCGGCGTGCCCAGGCGGCGGAGCGGAGACACCGCCATTTGGTGGCGGGCGGGGGTTCCGAGGTGGACGCGGTGGAGGACGAGTACCTGTGCATGGGGGCGGCGGAGACGCGCGGGCTGCTCATGGTGGCCCCGGAGCTGCAGCGGCACATCACGGAGGCACTCCACAAAGAGGCGGCCATCCTCAAGCAGCGGCGCCAGCTGCGAGAGGAGAGGGCCACCGCGCGCGGGCCCGGCGGCGGCGCCCTCGGCAGCGGAGGGGCCCCCGCCGCGCTGGAGAGCAAGATCAAGAACCAAGCGGGCGAGATCGAGCGCCTGCAGGCGCGCCCTTGCGACCGGACGGGCGACGCGGAGCTCGACGGCGGCAAAGGCGGCGGCCGCGGGCGCGGGGGCAAATGATGAGTACCGCTCGGGAGTGCTTGCCGGTGGGGGCTCCCGTGGACGGCAGCCGCACAGCGAGGATTATCCGCTGCTGCCGCGCCGCGCGTTCACGACACCGGCAGGCCGAGCACGCCCTCGACTGGGAGTACGAGGTCCACGAGGCGCTGAACGGCCTCTACTCACATGGCGCGCCAAAAGGCGACCAGTTTTTGTCAGTGCGCAGGAGGCCGGCGTTCAGCACGTGAAGGGCGTGATCTCCTCCGTCGGCCCGCCCTGCATCGCCCTCGCGGCAGCCTTCACTGAGCTGTGCGGGCACGCTCCCGGCTACTCCCAGATGCCGGAGATTCGCACGCCCTTCCAGCGGGACCTCGTCTCGCTCCCCCGCGGGGACCACGCCCTCTGCGACGGCTTATCGCACCTGCAGGTGTTGCGCGCGATGAATGGATGGGTTGGAAGGACCGGCTTATACGCCCGGTTTCAGACATGCAGGAGGAGCGGGTCAAGCCGTACAATGATCCGGAGTTGGTCCGTTCGCAGTCCTGCTTGGCTTCTTTTCTCCTCGACCTCTACGACTCTAACTTGCTCTACTTCGGGGCGGAGCAGCCGGCCACAGTTGGGATGTTCTTCGTGCTGAAGTCCGACAAAGTTCGGCAACGCCTGAATCAAGAGTTTGCCGACCCGGATTACACGCAGGTCCCCACCGCGGGGGCTTGGAACGGCCTCATGTTGAGGCCAGACGACAAGCTCTTCCTGTCTCAGGTCGACGTCGACAACGCGTTCTACAGGATCCTGCTGCCGCCCGGGCTGAGCCGGCGCTTCGTCTTGCCGGCGGTCAGCCGGCGGGCCCTACTGGCGGCGCGCCCGGGGCTCGTGCTCCCGGAGGGGGGCAAGATCTCGGGCTTCCTCCGCGCGCTGCCGATGGGTTGGACGTGATGCCTGTACTTCTGCCAGTCCATGGTGGAGACCGCCGTGAGGCGGTCGGGGTTCCCCGACAACCGCCTCGTGAGGGATCGCCACACCACTCCGGACGTCCGCGCTGGGGAGGCAGCCGCCGTGTACGTCGACGGCGCGGCGACCCTCGGCACGGACTCCAACATGGTCGACCGGCGCTGTCAGGACGTGACGCGCTGCCTGCAGGACCACGGGCTGATCTGCAAGGGCGTGGAGTGCTCGGGGGGCTTGCAGAAGTTCACAGGCCTCCACTTCGACGTGGAGACGGGCAAGATCTCCCTGGGCCGCGAGCGGCTCTGGCGGCTCCGGCTCGGGCTGCTGTATACACGCGGCCGACCAGCGGCACATCACGGGGGGCGACCTGCGCCGCCTAGTGGGCCACTTCGCTGGTTCGCCGCGAGCTGCTGGCGATTTTCGACAGCGTCTACCGCATCGCCGACCGCGCCGGCAGCCGCAGGTGGCGGATGCGGCCCAGCGTCGAGCTCGAGCTGTGCCGCGCGGCAGCCTTGGTCTGCTTCTGCTTCGTGGACCCGAAGAGGCCCCTGGCGTCGGACGTCTACGCCACTGACGCCTTAAGGGAGCTCGGGCGTTGACGCCAGCGGGCACGGCGCCATGAGTCGGGGCAGCGAGGCGGAGGTGGTCCAGCGCTTGGAATGCCAGGCCGAGCGCTGGAGGTATAACATCATGGACGCCATCGCAGCCCGGTGCCACATGCTGGGTGTGGAGGCCCCCAAGGCGTACGGCAGCCGCGTCGCCAGGGAGGGGGGCTCCGACTTCCTGGCGGCGACGGCCGCGGACATCGGCTCCTTCGACGACTGGGGCCTGAAGGTGAAGGGCAGCTGGCGTATCCAAGACAACATCATGAGGACGGAGGGCCGTGCCGTCATTCTGGCGGTGAGGCACCACTTGAGACGGGTCTCGGCTCAGTGCCACCGCCTCGCTGTTATGTGCGACAATTTGTCCGTCGTGCTGGCGCTCGGCAAAGGAAGATCATCTTCGCCTCACCTCATGCGCACCTGCAGAGAGATGCTTGCACTCAGCCTCTTGGGGAATGTGGTCGTGACCGTGAGATGGATTGCTTCGGAGCTCAACCCGTCCGACGGGCCGTCTCGGCTCAAGTCCGCGATCACCAACGACCCCCGCCTCGACCCGCGCAGCGCCTGGTACGATGCTGAGACAGCTGCCCGCTGGGCCGCCGAGCGGCGGGACCAGGCCGTCGACGAGCTCGTCAGGGACGAGGTCGGCGGCTTCCACGGGCTGGCGGGGCTCGGGGACTACTTCCTCGCGGACCCTACGCCGGGCGGCCCCCGAGGCTCCGCCTCGGCCACCGCCGGCGACGCGGACGCCGCCCTCGGCTGGGAGGACTCCGACTCTGACGACGAACCAGTCGGGCTTGCTGAATGCGCGGGCGCAGGGGGGCACCACGTCCGAGCTCGCGGCCGCGGAGAAGCAGGCGCAGGGGCGGGCGCGGCGGCGCCAGGCAGCGGCTGGGCGGCGGCCGGCACGGCCGCTGGGCACGACCTTCCTGGAGGCCGCGAGGGGGGCCAACAGGCAGGCTCGGACGCATGCTCCGCTCCACCAGGCCGCCTTGGACTGGGCCCGCCGCCAGGGCTCGGCCGCTCGGACGACGAGCGGGCTCCACATGGCGCTCGCCCAGTACCTCGACATGCTGTACTTCGGGGACTTCAGCCAGTCACTCGGTCAGAAGTCCGTCGCGGCTCTACGCTGCGACTGGCTCGAGTGCGAGCTCAACGGACCTCGCGGCCTCGCGCGCACGCGGGCCGCGCTGCGCGGCCCCCGCCGCCGAGGGCCCGGCGGGAGGCGCCGGCCGCTGCCTCGCTCAGCCTACCTGGCCATCCTCGGGGCCGCGCTGCACCTCCGCCTGATGGAGTTCGCGCTCGCCCTCGTGACCGACGTCGTGGCGATGGCGGGGGGCAGCCTGGTCACTCCGGGCCCCTCTGCCGGCGGCCTGGCGCGGGGGCTGCTGGCCCCCCCGCCCGAGCGCCCGAGGCCGCGCGGCCGAACGAGGTCGGCCACTTCGACGAGGGGCTGGTACTCAGGGGGCGAGAGACCAGCTTGCTGGACGCGTCTCTCCACGCACTCACGCGCCACCTCGCCGCGTGGTCGCTGCTCGAGCCCCCCCTGCTGCAGCGCGCCAAGGGCGTGAAGGCGCAGCTCCCCAGGCACTACCTGCGAGGAGCGCCGCCACCCCCAGAGGGAAGGCGGGCGGCCTGAGGAGCGGCGCCGTCTGGCGCGCAGGAGACACTCTCGGCCTGCGCGAGGGCGCAGGTTCGGGCCGCAGCAGGTCAGCTGCTGTCTCCAATGCTTTGCGAAGCGTTCTGAAGCAAGGCCCTTCTCACGCTATGGCCTACCGCGACATTTTTGCTGGGGCCGGCGCCGTCGGTCGATGGCTCCGCCGGCACACAGCGCACAACGTTCTACGACTAGATCTAAAAGACAATCCCGCTTTCGACCTCAGCTGCGCAGCTGTCTGTAGGACGCTGCGTGGCTGGATTGGGTCGCGGCACGTCCGCGGCCTTTTCATCGCATTCCCGTGCAGCACTTGGTCGAGGGCCAGCCGCGGCCGCTATCGCTCGGTATCTTGTATCCACGGCTGGCCGGACCTCGATCCAGTCGGCCTCCGAAATTGTCTCTATGGGAATCGCACCCTCCTGACCACAGTGCTCCTCGTCCGAGCTGCCGTCCGTGCCGGGGTGCCTGTAATCGTCGAGAACCTTATACTAGCATGGCCTGGCTGGAACCCAGTCTAGCCTCTCTCATGCGCCACAGGAGCTGTATTACCACAGTATGTGACTTTTGCCAAGTCGGTAAGCCCTGGAGGAAAGGGACACGACTCGCCGGCTGGAACGTGATCTCTCCGCCCGCCGACCCCCATCGAACGCGCGAAGGGAAGTGCGGGATCTGCTCACGGACTGGCCGGCGGCACGTCGTCCTTGAGGAACGACAGGCCGGCTTCGGCCAGATGACAGCTGCCGCCGAGGCCTACCCAGCCAAATTCGCCGCGGCCGCTGCTCGATGCCTTCGCGATTCGGCGAACGCCCTCCAGACTGTTCGCATCAACCGACTGATCGTCTAGTTTGCTCCCGCCACTTCCTGTCCAAAGCACCGTGTTGCAGAAAGTTTACATGGGCATGCGGCTCTGCCATTGCTCCAGTAAGGGAATTCGGGATAATGTGCGCTTCGGTCCGAGGCTTCTCAGTGCAGTGCTGTTGCGAAGCTCTGGTCTGCCCACACAAAAAAAACGTCGTCATCCTGGCCCTGCCCTTCCCGTGCCTACCCAGGTGCCCGCGCATCTTGGCGCGGAAAGGTTGGGCGCGCGCGGATTATATCCGTTGCTCCTCTCCCTCGCCCGCCCCCCCCCCCCCCCCCCCCCCCCGCGCCCCCCCCCTCCTAAGCCGCCACCCCGGTTCGAGGGTCTCGGGTGCGACTGGGACGCGGGTTTCACCTCCGGGACAGCTGCTGCGCGCGCTGCGCGCGCGAAGCCCGTCATAGCGCCGCGCGGCGGCTGCGGCGGCCCCCGCCGCCGCGCAGGCCGAGCGGTAGAGCCAGCGCGGCACTGGAGGGCCAGAGCGGAGAGGCCCCGCGCCCGAGTTCTCCTCCGCGCGCAGGCGGCACGGCGCCTGCCACAACGGCATCACAGCAGACGGCGAGAAGGACCAGGCAGCAGCGCGAAGAAGTCTGCCGCCCCCTCGGCCACCACCGGGGCCGCCGCGGCCCCGCGGCATTTGTCCCAGCGAGAACTGGCGCGGCAGCGTGGCTCGCCTCAGCCAGAAGCCCCGCCTCGGCGCCGTGCTCCTCGTCGATCAGGCATCGCGCCGCCAGAGAGCGCCCGTGGCAAGGGCAAAGGCAAGGCGGCGCTGAAGGACAAGGGTGCCCTGGTGATCAGGGACAAGGACAAGGGCGACAAGGACAAGAACGTCGAGTCGAAAGCCGCCCGTGGCTCATTGGCCACCATGGACAAGGATCGCGATTCGAAGACGCAGGGCGCGCGCGCCACGGGCGACGAGAGGTCGGCCAAGGAACTGTTGCACATGCATCCTGCACTACCTCAAGTGGCACGCCGACATCGTCGGCGGCGTTCTACGCCTGGGATCCAGGCGACCGACAGCGAGGTGGAGTGCTACGCGGAGCAGGTCTCAGTGCGGCTGGAGGCGTTAAGTACGATCATCCCCGGCAGGATCGATGTTGGAGAGGAGTGCGAAGATGCAGTCCTGGAGTTCACGACGTTGTTGGCCATGCTGTTCAGCGCAAGGGGCCTGCAGTCGCAGCTGGGCAAGCAGGAAGAAGTTCGAGAGCGAGCAGAGCCTCGCCTCCAAGAGTCAGAAGATGCGCTTGTCGAATTGCAGACCCACGTGAAGAAGGCGATCGTGGGCGTCGATGCGGCGACGCGCGATATAGAGCACAAGGGCCAGACGATCGCTGAGCTGCAGGCCTCGGCCCGGGCCGAGTGCAGGGCTAGTAATAATGATCCTCCTCCTCCTCCTCCTCCTCCTCATCATCATCATCGGCATCATCATCATCATCATCATCATCATCATCATCATCATCATCATCATCATCATCATCATCCTCATCATCGTCATCATCATCATCATCATCATCATCATCATCATCGTCATCATCATCATCAGCATCATCATCATCAGCAGCAGCATCATCGTCATCGTCATCCTTCTCCCCTCAATCCCTCCCTCGTCCTCTTCCCTCTCTTCCTTTTTCCCGCTCCTCTGTCACCACCTCCCCCCCTGCCCCGCGCGGAGGCCGCGAACTGCCTGCTGGCCGACGTGCTTCAGGACAAGCGGGGCCGGCTGCAGGAGACCCCGCTGGGCACGGCGGGTGGGGGGTGCGGGATTGCGGGGCTCCCTCAGCGGGCGGGGAGGCGAGCGCTGCCGGGGGGGGCCTCCGCCTCTCGTGCCGACGGACGTTTTCGGGCCGCGATCGGCTTCCGTGGGCCCTCACCTGGCCCCGGGGCCGTCAGAAGGTTGTGGTGTTTCTTGTCCTTCCCGCCCAGTGGTGCTTCAGTTCGGGCTCCAGGTAAAAACGCATTCTTGAAAGGGGCCGCCCAGTCAGATCGTCCGCCGTCGTCCAAAACATCGCGAAGCATCCAGAGTATCAGTGGTGCGTCTGGCCGGGGGAGCAGGGCAACTTCGCGGGCATGCCCATGGAGACCAACAGGTGCCTTGCGGTAGGTCCAAACGCCGGCCGACGTTATTTCTGCGTCGGCCGCGGGCGCGGAGCTAAATTGTAGTATCTCGTTCAGCGAGCGTTCCTTCGTACATAAGGGCATGGGCGGGCTTGTACGTGGAGGAATTCTTCACAATGTGGCGATGCAAATCAGATTGAGGGGGCCGAACGGTCTTACAGTGTCCCTGGGTGCGTGGCTGAAGTGGGGATCCACGGTTCGGATTATGCTTGTTGTTATTGTTGTCGTCGTCCTGGCGGTTTGCTCGCGGCGCGGGTGAATCGCGGCGCGGGCGGGTCGCGGCGCGGTGGATCTCGTGTGGTTTGCGGCGCCGATGGGTCGCGGGTGGGTTGCGTGTGGGTCGCGGCGTGGGTTCATCTTTCGGTTCCC